GATCCTTAGTACCCTCTAATAGATGTCTCCACTCCTTAAAGGACCACTATAGTGCCAGGAAAACATACTCGTTTTCCTGGCACTATAGTGCCCTGAGGGTGCCCCCACCCTCAGGGACCCCCTCCCTCCCGGCTCTGGAAGGGGGAAAGGGTTAAAAACTTACCTTTTTCCAGCGCTGGGCGGAGAGCTCTCCTCCTTCTCTCCTCCTCCGTTCCTCCTCCTGGGCTGAATGCGCACGCGCGGCAAGAGCTGCGCGCGCATTCAGCCCGTCGCATAGGAAAGCATTTACAATGCTTTCCTATGGACGCTTGCGTGCTCTCACCGTGAAAATCACAGTGAGAAGCACGCAAGCGCCTCTAGTGGCTGTCAATGAGACAGCCACTAGAGGATTAGGGGGAAGGTTTAACCCATTCATAATTATAGCAGTTTCTCTGAAACTGCTATAATTATGAAAAAATGGGTTAACCCTAGAAGGACCTGGCACCCAGACCACTTCATTAAGCTGAAGTGGTCTGGGTGCCTAGAGTGGTCCTTTAAGAAATTCAAAAGCCTCAAGCGCCTCTGGGGACCAGACACGAGTATTACCATCCTTTTTAGTCATACGGGTTATAGGCGCTACAATAGAAGAAAAAGCTTTAATAAAGCGTCTATAATAGTTAGAAAAACCAAGAAAACGCTGAATGGCTTTCAGACCTTGAGGTAGAGGCCATTCTATGACAGCAGAAAGCTTCTGGGGATCCATATGAAAACCATTAGCAGAAATTAAATACCCCAAAAACTGGACTTCGGATTGATCAAATAAACATTTTTCTAGTTTACAATAAAGACCATTAACAAGAAGGGTTTTTAAAACTGTTTTAACATGCATGTGATGAGTATGCAAATCCGTTGAATATATTAATATGTCGTCCAAGTACACTATTACAAATGTGTGAATAAAATCTTGTAAGATGTCATTAATAAATTCTTGAAACACTCCTGGGGCGTTACAAAGACCAAATGGCATCACAGTGTACTAGTAATGACCAGTCCTAGTATTGAATGCAGTTTTCCATGGTCCTTCTTTTTTTTTGTTTAAAGACTTTTATTGTTTATATAAAAGGAAATCACAGAAATACACAGTATTACAAGAAGTTGATTCGCAATTCTCACAAATAGTCCGAGTCCAGCACTGAAGGGGACCCACACAGGGGTCACAACATATTATACACCATTATACAACAGTTAGAAGTCGTTGTGGTTGACTGCCAGGCAGCTACTGCCAAAGGAGGTTGTGTATTGTTCGTAAAAGTAAATGTAGTGATGACCTGAGGGGTATGGCCGAGTCGGTAAGCGATGCCCGGGTAACTAGTGTTGGCGTCACTTTGCAACATTGTGTTGGTTAACATACCATCTAGTATATCATGAACCATGGGCATTGTATTCTTCAGTATAGTGGTGGGATTTGTGTAGTAGCCCTATTAGTGTGGCGTCCGTATAGGTTTCACCTCCTTTCCGAACTGAGTTAAGTGAGCTCGGGGCGTTTGGAGTGTCTTGTATTACCTTGGGTTAACTTTGTTGTCAGATGTTGCCTGCTGTTTAAGGATGGTATGGGTAGGTTCAAGGTTGGCAATTTGGGTAGTTCGTGGGTAGGTTCCCGGTTTGGTGATGGCAATTCGCTCGAGCTCTGGCCAGTAAGGGTCTAGTAGATACTGCAGTGGGCGTATCTAGCTTATGGGCTGGCTGTAGGCCTCTCGAGTCAGGGATCGATTAGTAGTGGGCGAGAGGTATCGGCTCTTTGTGTTATGCAGCTAGTGGCTACCCGAGTCTATCTGTGAGTTAAGAGTCTGTAAGTTATATCGCAAAGATGCTTGTGTCGCAAAAAGAGGGAAAGGAGGGGGGAGGAAGCCCAAGAGGAGATCCAGTGATCCAATGGAGATCACAGGGGGTGGTTAGGCATTTAGCCTTTTAACTGTCTTGTGGCCTGGTGGTTGGAGGAGGGGTTCTAGGTTGAGGTGCCGGGGGCAGTGTGAGGTTTTAACAAGAGTCTTGTCCACGGTTCCCTCTTCGAAAAGGGACAGTTTGTGTGTAACAGAGGCCTGTATGTTTTCCATTATTTTGAGCGCATCCACTTTGTGAATCCATTCTTTGATCGTTGGGGTATTGGGATTTTTCCATTTTGCCAGAATGAGGGTGTTGGCTTCTGTAAGATGGGTTACAAGTCATTTTTGCGTGTTGGTGAGGGTGCAGGGTAGCAACAGGAATAGCAGAGTGTGTGGGGTATGGGGAAGTTTTATTCCTGTTACCGTCTTAATCATTGTTCCTATATTTGTCCAGTATCTTTGGGTTTGAGGGCAATGCCACCAGATGTGGGCCAAGGACGCACCTGGTTGGGCACATTTCCAGAAAACATCTGTGGTGTTGGGGAATAACGCGTGTAATTTATCTGGGGAGTAGTGCCATCTGGAGATTCGCTTATAACCGCTTTCCTGGATAGCGGTGCAGATAGATGTTTTATGTATTTGGTTACATATTGATGTCCACTGTGCTGTCATGAATTGTGTGTTAAGGTCCTCGGTCCATGAGGAGGTGAACTTAGGTGGGTGGGCCGCGTGTTCTGTCTGGATCATTTTGTAGAAAGTGGAGAGTTGCTTAGTTTTAATGCTCCGAGTTTTGCAATGTGTTTCGAAATCAGAGAGGGGTCTGGTTCCCCTGAGGAGTCGTGTGTCTGTCTTTAGGAAGTGATGTAGTTGTGTGTAGTGAAATGTTTGCATTGTAGATGGAGCAGTCGAGTGTATGAGGTCTGATATCGAACTAAGTGAGTTACCAACTAGAGTGGATCCCAGAGTAAGGTATGCCTGGTCATAGGTATCTCGGAAGCTTCGGTAATTTGCGGCAATCAGTCCCGGTTGGAAGTGTGGGTTATGGGTGATTGAGTGTGGGAGGTATCGTGGGGTGTGTGTTATGGTCGAGGAGCTTAGGGTGAGGCTTTTGCCATGGGATCGTATGGATGGGGAGTTTTAATATAGTGGCTTCTATTTTTGTCCATTGGAGGTTCGGTGGGTGTTGGGACCATTCATATACTCTTGTTAGCATCGTAGCCTTGTAGTATTTTGCCATATGGGGCAGCCCCAGGCCTCCACAGGATTTGTGTCTGGTAAGCACTTTGGATGAGAGTCTGGGTTGCTTGTGCGCCCAGATGAATGAGGTAAAGAGACTCCGCAGCTTGGCAAAGAATGCTTTGGGTATGGCTATAGGTAGGGTTTGAAATAGGTACAGTATTTTTGGTAGTGTGTTCATTTTGAGGATGTTTATTTTACAGAGCCAGGAGAAGTGTGGCTTTTGCCATGCCCGTAGGTCTTTGGAGATAGACTGGTATAATGGCTCATAGTTCAGATCGTAGATGGACGTCAAGTTGGCTGAGAGGTGGACACCAAGGTATAGAATGGACTTCCGCCCACGTGAAGGGGAATTTGGATTTGAGGCATGTACGCGTCTGAAGGGTCATTGTCAATGGTAATATTTCACTTTTAGAGAATTTAACCTGAAAATTTGAGATTGCATTGTAAATGGAAAGTTCTTCCAACAAGGGAGGTATTGATGAGTCGGGCGCTTGGATGGTAAAGAGAAGGTCATCAGCGAAGGCAGAAACCTTGTATTCCTCTTGTCATGGTCCTTCTTTATACGTATTAGATTGTATGCACCTCTAAGGTCCAGTTTAGTAAATACCGTAGCATGTTTGAGCCTGTCAAATAATTCCGTGATTAATGGTATAGGGTAAGCATTTTTATGGTGATTTTATTTAGACCCCTATAATCAATACAAGATCTCAAATCGCCCTCCTTCTTCGACACAAAGAAGAACCCAGCCCCTGCCGGAGAATAGGATCTCCTTATAAACCCCTTTTGTAGAGATTCTTTAATATATTCCTCCATGACACGGTTTTCTTGAGGAGACAAAGGATACACCCTGCCTTTGGGAGGTATAGTGCCAGGCAATAAATCGATAGCACAATCGTAGGGTCTATGAGGCGGTAATTTTTCAGCCTCCCTTTTATCGAAGACAGACTTGAGAGATAAGTACTGAGGAGGTATAACAGTAGACAAAGGAGGAGTAGTAGGAACATTAATAGAATTTAAAGGGGTGATTTTAACGATACAAGACTTTTGGCAGGTCTCGCTCCAAGATACTATTTGTCCTGACTCCCAGTCAAAAATGGGATTGTGAGAATGTAACCATGAGTACCCTAACACGATGTGAGAGGAAGGAGAGGTAATGACCTGAAACCGAATGGTTTCTAAGTGTAACATCCATGAAAACATCTGCAACGGTTCAGTTTCATATGTAATAACTGGGGAGCATAATGGTCTACCATCTATGGCCTCAACGGCCAAGGGTGTCTTCTTCTCTCTAATGGGTATGTTGTGTTTCCTCACAAAACCAGAATCTATGAAATTCTCAGCTGCCCCGGAATCAACCAGGGCTAGTATGTTCCCAGCTATGCAATTCTTTTCCATTTGCAGAGAAACAGGGAGAAGTAATCGGTTAAGAGGCAATTTTGGGGACTTAGATATCACACCCAAGGCCAGTCCCCTATATGGCCTTAGGTGCGATAGTTTTCCGGAAGCACGGGACATTCTTTTAGCATATGGCCCTTCCTACCACAGTACAGGCAAAGTCCCTCCTTTCTCCTATACAATTTGTTAGCATCAGAGAGTTTGGCAACCCCTAATTGCATGGGTTCCTCCTCTGATACCTTGAAACTCTCAGGATTAGCAACTCTAGGAGTATTTAATGTAACAAAACGTCTATTCCTATTCTTAGTATAGCGTCTGTCACGAATCCTATTGTCTATATCAATGAGATAGTCGATAAGGTCCTCTAATGGGATAGGAAGATCCCTAGCCGCTACGTTATCCAATATAGTGTCAGATAAACCTTCCATAAATGCAGTAGTTAGCCCATTGTTGGTCCAATCTACCTGTGAAGCAAGGGGATAATCAGCAATAGACCTAGATCCCTGTTTAATTCTCACTAATGCCCTGGCGGCATTCTTCGAACTTTTAGTTGTGTCAAAGGTTCGACGAAAAGCCGTAAGGAAGCTATTGAAATCATGCACCATAGGTCCATTAGCCTCTCAAATAGGATTTGCCCACTCAAGTGCTTTATCAGTAAGTTGGTGCATAAGGAACCCAAGTTTAGACCTATCAGTGGGAAAGGAACGTGGATACATCTCAAAGTGGAATTCCACTTGATTTATGAATCCCCTGCATGTCTTAGCATCCCCTCCATACCTAAGAGGAAGGGTTCAATGTGCAGAAGCATTAGGCATGGTAGATACATCTGGGACAAGGGGTGCAGGAGGATCTGGTACGGTTACCGGAGTAGTTCTAGATAAGAGTGTCTGGAGGGCCTGGGCTATCTGATCCATACGGTGATCCTGCTCTACAAATATAGCCTCATGAGAAGCCATTTGCTGAGCTAAATCTGCGGGGTCCATGGCCCTATCGTAATGTTATGGTAGTTTACTCCAACTCGCAAGATTTAGTCCAACAATTGACAATATAGAGCAGATACGTCTTACGGGACCTTAGAATGGCCGGACTCGACATAGAGCAGAGAAATACAGAGTCAGGAACAATCTGAGGTCAAGGGTAAAAAGAGTCAGCGAAAACAAGAACTATCCAAGGTCTGGTACACAGTAATCAGTAAGCCGTCAAACAAGACAAAACAGGGATAAAGAGATAAACTGAGTCAGATACAAAGCCAAGGTCAAGTACAAAAAATCACAACTGAACACAACAAGCGCTTAGGGGAACTGAAACAGAAACCACGATAGGGCAGGGAGTTAGGGGAGAGGTAAGTATAAATACCCTAACATTTAATTTGATTGGCCCCTGTCATATCCACGCCCCCAAAATGTGAGTGTATGGGGAATGTGGGATGACAGGGGCCAATGGGCTCCCACTTCCCCTTTAAGAGCGTGCCTGAGATGCGCAGCGCGCTCTTGGAGCTAGGCGGGACACGTGACTGCATCCCACGGTCAGTGACCGCCGTCATATGAGCCCTGAGCGAGCCGCACGTGGCGGGAACTGAGGACCTTGGCCGGCCCCGGGATAAGGTAAGTACCACTACAGGGACTCTCTGGGCACCCAGGTAAGTCCCCATACCGTGATCGCCGGACGGTTTGGGCGTTCTATGCTGCCCTGCGGCGTTTAGAGCCGCTTCCTTAAGGACGGCATAGAACGCCCGCCGTCCTTAAGGGGTTAACACTAACTTTGGCCAGTGTTTGTGACCAAGTGACTACTAAAAAAGACTGGACATACCCCATTTGCAATACCTTGGGTTGTCTACTTTTGCAAA